ATAACAAAGGCTGATAGCATATAAAAATTATCTCAAATCAATAAAAACAGGAAATTCAGTGGAAAGAAGAGTTCAAGACATTTCAAAGCAACCCACAAATGCAGGGTGTTTGTTTTCCTTGTGATCAGAAATGAGGGAAGTGAGATGAGATCTCCAAGATAAAAATCCACTAGTAAACACTAAAATGTTGTTAACACCCAAGGTTTGTAAGGACATGGTGGACGGCTCCACTTTCAGTGATGGGGATGTGAACTGGTGGATCCCGATGGATAGAACACCATTTGATGGTCTCCATTCAAACATTTGCAGTGTGAAGTTTACAACACCTACCAACCCCACCATTATACATCTCCCTAGAGAAGTGTTTATGCACACGCACAAAAAAGAACCTAAAGGATGCAGTGACCTGGAATGAGAAATACATGTTCATTGATAAACATTTTGGTACAGCCACACCCTGAAATAATCTACAAGAAATTAATTGAATACCTTAAGTAGATCTAAATGTGCTGACATAGAACTATCCCTAAGATAAATCATATTATTAAAAAGCAAAAAAATAACTTCAGTTGGAGTTTTTGTGAGGATCGCATGAAATGATGAAAGCCAAATCTATCCATATAAAACCTGTCAGTATTGACATTCTCGGATTCTTTGGTGTGACAGTTAACTGTTTTGTCAACTTGTGTAAGACACACTGATTGGCTTAGCATAGTTCTGGGTGTGACTAATTCATGGACTTACTGAAGACAGAAGACTCACCCTAGGCAAGTGGCACCAGCCAATAGGCTTGTAGCCTGAATGGAATGAAAAGGGAAAGAAGGAAGGTTTGCTTCTCTTGCTTCAGAGCAGCTCCAGTCTTCACCATCCATTGCCTTAGATGTCCATCTCCTGACTTCCCCTGCAAACTCTTCACCCTTCCAACACAGACTCTTCAGCCTCCAAGCATGGACTCTTCTTTTACTATGCAAATCCTTCAGCTTCCTGATACGAACTCACATAGGACTCTATAGAGAGCTCCAGGCCTTTGATTTTGACTCAATCCTTCAGATCTCCATTGGGCAGATTTGATTATATAGATAATTAAAGCTGTTTCTCTAGTGAGCACTGACTGATACACCCAGGCAATAACAGTGTGTAAGATGTTCAGAGAATTTACAGAAAGTCTTTGTCTTAGTTACTTTTCCCAGGTGGGACAAAATACTTTACACCTACAAGTTATAGGAAGAAAGGGTTATTTTAGCTCAGAGTTTGTAGAGGTTTCAGTCCATAGTCAGCTGGCTCCAAGGCAGGGTATCACGGCCCAAGCATCACAGAGAAAAAATACTCCATGGCAGGGCAAGCAAGAGGCAGTGAATCAAAGTAGCAATAAGCCTCTTTTCCCTTTTTTTTTTTTTTTTTTTTTTTTTTTTGAGACAGGGTCTTACTATGCAGTTCAGGCTGGCCTTGAACTTGCTATTCAGCCCAGGCTGGCATCAAACTTGTGGCAGTCCTCCTGCTTCAGCCTCCCAAGTTCTGGTATTACAGGCATGTGCCACCATGCCTGACTCCCTTTCCCTTTTATTTCATCCAGGTTGCAAACCTTTTGGGTGGTGCTGCCCACACCCAGGATGCGGTTTCCCATCACCCACACTCAGAACTATGCTAAACCAATCACTGGACAAACTTAGTGATCATATGCCCTTAATACAAATTCACACATCCTAGATCCAGTCACCTCCAAAATAACACCCTTCCTATGAGCACAGGGGGCTTTGGGAGCACATCTAGATGCAAGCCATAACACTCTATTATTCTCAGAGAAATTAATCTCCGAGCACAGAGGCAGAGGAACAGGAGGAAATGAGGTTTGCATTGTCCACTGAGCTGATAAACAGTGGGACTGAGGCTCTGTGATTCAAGCTGCAGGAGAAGCAAACAGAACAAAGTCTGCTTAGCAAAGCCTCCAGGGACCTGCCCAGATCCCCAGACTCCCGCTAACCAGTTCTTCCCCTGGGAACAGCTCTGAGGAGAGTTTGTTGTTCCTATGTCTTGCCTGATAGGGAGAATTTATTTTAGATTCTGAATTTGGATTTCACATAGGCGCTCAGAGAGCTTTGGGCAGGAAATCTCCTTTATAAACTGAATAAACAGCTGTGGTTGGGATCAGCTATTTTTACCTTGATTCTTCTCCCCTCCTCTTTCTCTGTGCTGTGGGTGTCTCACTAACCATGAACAATCTTTACTGTGAGAGGATGCTGCTTGGTAATGGAGGGTTCTGTTGTCTATATTCACAAAGAAACAGTCATTGCCTTTGCAAAAGAAGTAAGAAGTAATGGGGGCTGGGGTGGAAGAAGGAATCTAACTGGTCCATACTTGATCTTCAGAGCACTTTTTTAAGCATACTGAGCAACCTATACTTTTCCAGAATTCCTTCTAGAAAAACATCCAGAATTCCTTCTAGAAAAACATCAGAGGAGGTCTGAATGGATCCAGGGGTATTTGCTCTTCAACGAGTGTGATGAATGTAGGGTTTGGAAAGAGAAGAGGGAAGGAGACTGAGTCTCCACCATAAATTTCTTTTTACACTGCTAATGAGCTTGGACTTGACCCAGGAACAGGAAATCCATGAGAGGTTTTTAGCTCTAAGAGTAACCTAATAGGAGGCCAGGTATAGTGGCACACTCCTGTAATCCCAGCACTCAAGAGGCCAAGGCAGGAGTATCACTGTAGTTCGAGGCCAGTATGGGCTACATAGTAAGTTCAAGGCCAGCCTGAAAGGGCCGGGGATACAGCTCAATGGCACAAGCGCCTGCCTGGCAAGTGCAAGGTCCTGAGTTCAATTCCTGGTACCAAAAAAAAAAAAAAAAAAAGGAAGGGGCTGGAATGGCTTTTGGCTAAGATCAAGTGTAGTATCAAGGCCAGCCTGAACTGCATAGTGAGATCCTGTCTCAAAAAAAAAAGAGTTACTTGATATGAAATGCACTGTAGCAAAATCACTCTGAGCACAGTGAAAGTCTCAACTATACAGCAACCTGTCTTTAATGACTGTTCAGAATTACAATCAAGGGGCACTATTTGGATTTAACAACACACCAAGTGGACTTGAGACCCCAATTTTTTGTACAGTTCTATACATCTTATTTATGGAGCCTCAGTCTTGTTTTTTGTACAGTACACCCTGTTTCTATAGTATTGTAATTTTTGCTGATTACACTGTACCATACAGTGCTCTCATTTTGTGTTCTGTTATAATTACAGAACTGCAGGAAGAGTTATGAAAATAAAAGTAAGGTCATCAAGTTGGAGTTTTCTTTGACTATTTCTTTGTTCTGAATATTGTGATGTACATACTATATACAATTCTTCATTTAGCAACTAATTCATTTAATGACATAGTCACAGGAACAGAACTCAGTCATTAAACAAGGGATGTCTATATTCATTCTCTTGTGGGTTTTAAAGAGAAGTAAACTCTGAGAGATCTGTCCATGCGATAGCCTTTAACAAGTGTGTTTGTGGATACACTGGTGGTGTTGTGGGGCTTGGTTTAGGCTGAAGAGAGATGAGCAGAGGTCTTACACCATGTTTTGTGTGGGCTGAAGGCTAGAAGTTTCACAGCACAGATTTCACTGTAGTTTAAGACTCCAACATTCTTTCTAACTATCCCTTCTGTTTGCTCATGTAGCAAAGCCTCTTTTGTACTAGAGTGATTTAAGGTACTCTAAGAATAAGCCCATTAGCCAATTACCACCATGGTCAACTTGAAGTAGTAAATGTAAAGAATGCAGAATTGGGAAGTGAGGTGCACAGTTAGCCTCTACCCCTCATAATCACCTTCTAATTAGAAAGGACACCCCAGAGGAAACAGGATTAGAAGCAGTGTAATTACAGCACATAATCAACTGAGCACTTAGGACAGGCACTATTCTAAGGGTTTTATTTACATTTAAGGAAATTAGTCTGCACAGAAACTCAATGTAGGGAGAGAAATGAGGAAAGCAATGCATGGTTGTCACAGTTTAACCATGGCCCAAAGACTCATGTATTGAGGGCTTGATCCCCAAAGCAGCATGTTCAGAGATGGGCTCTAAAGAGCAACTGAATCATGAGAGTGCTGACCTCATCAATGAATTTGTCCATTGATGGGTTCATTGTTCAATGAGCTATTAGGAGGTAGAACTCACTTGGAGGCATAGTTCAGGGGGAGCAGCCTTTGAAGATTATATTTGTTCTCCAACCCCTTCTCTGGCTGTTCCTCTTCACTCTGCTTCCTAAATCCCATAAGTTAAGCAGCTTTCCTCCACCATGCCCTTCCACCATGCTCTTTCTGCCTTGGATCTAGCTGACCATGGACTGAAACCTCTGAAACCATGAATCCAAATAAATGTTTCCATTTTGGTTTTTTTTTCTGATATCAGGAATCAAACTCAGGACCTCGTGCTTGCCAGGCACACTTCTGCCACTGAGCTACATCCTTGGCAGTGTTTTCTATTTTAAGTTGACTCATGTTAGATATTTTGTCTCAGTGATGGAAAGCTAACCAACACATGGGTGAAGTAATCAGCCCCATGTCACACAACTACTGTAACAGAGCCAAGATAAAGGCAAATTTAAATGGTTTCCTCAGTGTCCATGCTCTTAAAAACTGCACAAAAACATCTCTCTAAAACTGCACAATCGGGGCTGGGGATTTAGCTCAGTGGCAAAGTGCCTGCCTGGCAAGTGCAAGATCGTGAGTTCAGTTCCCGGTACTGGAGAAAAACAAAAACAAAAACAAACATAAAACTGCACAATCTAATTCAGTAGTTACTGGCTATTTTGGATACTTAAAGATAAATTAACTGAAATTAGACAAGAGTAAAAATTCAGTTCTTCATTCATACTTAAGTGCTCAATAATCACATGATATTAGTGATGATTGTATTGGATGGCACAGACATAATTCATGTTCATTATCACAGAATGTTCTCAGAGACAACGAAGCTCTAAAAAGATTGTAAGAAAAGAAGCCACACATGTTTGCTTGGAAACACAGAAGGTTTAATACACTTTGTTGACTGTTTTAACATAACAACTCAAAGGCAGTTTCATGTCTCTTTTGCTCTGAGAAAAGCAAATTCACCCAATTGGTCATTCATTCACTTATTCAACAAACGTTTACTCAGCACCTGCAATTTCACAGGTCCTATGTTAGGCTCTGAGGATAGAAAGATGAATAAAGAGGCACAGCCCCTGCCTCCAGGAGCTCACAATCTGATGGAGGAGGTGATGTTTTTGAGTGGCATTCTCAAGGTAATACATGTTGAGTAGGGCAAGGGGAATCTATTGATTACATGCAGAATTTGGTGTTTGCAGAACAGGCAAGAGGGTGTGCAGAGCTGGAATCAAGTGCAGGGTCAGAAAGTGCAGATGTGAGAGTCATCAACCTCAAGGTGGCCATTACAGAAAGGGCCCATCTAAGCTCATGCAAGGAGTATTGCAGAGTAGAAAGAGAATGAACCAAGGCCAGAGCCAACCCAAGAAATGCTAACCCATCAGAGGCAGGAGTTAAAACTGGTCAAGCAGAGGAGTCTGAGAAACCACATCAGAGACCATCCCAAGCTCATGCAGGCCACAGAAATCAAGGTCTAGGAGTGTTATTATGGACAGAAGACAATGATGTTATTTATTTTTGTACCAGAAATTGAACTGAAGACTTCTCAGGCAGGCTGCTGTTCCACTGAGCTATATCCCCGATATGAGAAGACAAATAATGTAAAGACTAACAAGTACCCAGTAGAGTTGACCTTGGTAAGAGCCATTTAGTGCAGGAACAGGGATGGAAAACAGTCTGCGGTGGGTTCTAAAAGAAATGAAAAGTGAGGACAAGCAGACAAAAACTGTACAGCAAAGAATACTCAGCTATAAAGATTATGGTCCAAGAGTCCTCTGTATGTTTGTCTACTGCATTAAAGCACCCTGGTGGTGGACAAAGGTCAAGGATCCAGGAAGGAAAAGGAATAATAATTACCAAGGTCTCAAAGACACAGGAGAGCAAGGAGTCCAAGGCACAGGCACAGAGTTTAGCGTTGGTGGGAGAAGAAGGACTCCCTTTCCATGGACTGGGAAGGAAGATGGGAAAAGAGGTGCACAGGTACACAGAACAGTTCACTGAAGACAATAAATGTATGATAATGGCATGGGGAAGATAACACGAATATGGGAGAAACACCAGTGGGTGAACAGACAACAGTGACAAAGGGAAGGGTGTTATGTGAGGGGACAAGAATAACAATTCCAATATGCTTGTTGGAACCCAGGGAGAATGTTAGTGCTATCTCCTTTGTGGATGGGAGCTTGAAGAACTGTCAGAATTCCTACAAAGCCTTCTAGAGAAGACAGTGTCTTCAATAAAGAGCCAAATGTCAGGTACATTCTCTGCAAAGAAATGACCCATTTGCAGAGTTTTCAGCCCCGGGACAGGGGTCAAAGGGAGACAGTGTGTCATTCTGAGGATAAAAGTTGGAGTAGAGGAGTTAACATTTTAGGCAGGGATAAATAAATATGGAGCTTGGTGGGATCACTTGCCTTCAAGATGTTAGGTAGGGTTCTGCGTTCAATAATAGGTCAAGGATGTGTGGAAATCTTGGTGATACCTCCAGTGAAAGGGTTATGTTCTAGGATTCTCAAAAACTTTGATGAAAAATCTAGAGTCTTAGAAGATAATAAGCTATGCTTCAGATTGGTTGATTTCCAAGAATTTAATTTATGAGAAGGAATTCACAGCACCTCCCAGAGAATGAGGATAAATTTGCCATACTTCTAATGAACTTCTAACCCAGTTAAGAAGAATTCTTCTAGTACAAAGAGCAGAACCCTCAGGTAATGGGCAAAAAAAGGAAATTAAGCAAGGGAAGACACAGCCAAATCTGCCTCAGCCGTGATCATCATGTATGTGTGTTTCACTCTGAAAAGGTTCACCTAGAATGACTTTTTTAATCCTACTATGCCATTGGCCAGAAAAGTCTGATATTGTATTAAGTAAGCCCCACATCCAAACAGCTCAGAGATGAGGGCAAGAAGGGAGACATCATTTTCTTGTGTGTTCCAGAATTATTTCTAAAATTATACTTGGAATTCAGACTGAATTAAGACCTTGGGGTGGTTAGCAAGACCGCTACTTCTTTCTACATTGCACCATTCTGAAGGATTTTCAGCTCTCTGAGTAGATCCTAAATGGCCAAGCACAGCCCTTCCTCAGAACTCCATATCAGCTGGAAGAAATTGGGTATCACCAATTCTAGTCTTCTAAATACTGAATATTCCAGACCATGATTGAGACCAGCAGCCCCAGAGACATCTGCAGAGACAGGTGAAGGGCTAATGGGACACCAAGGGCTTAGAGGCACCCTCAGCTCACATGTCCCCTTCTCCATAACCACCCCACTACACATGCACACATAGCACGTGCACCAGACATGTGCCAGACCCACATCCTCCTCTGCACTACCCCTCTCACCATGTACTTCACCACTGCATTTGGTATCACATTGTGCTTTGTTTACTTTTTGCCTCCAACTATATTTGTGTTCCATTATTGGGATCTAGGGTGTAACACCCAATAAACATTTATAGGAAGAGTTCTGCAAGGATGAGATAGAGTTAAGTGAAAATAAGTTGAACTGAGCCAAAATGACATTGGGGATCAAGGGCAGTGCATCTCCTCAGCTACAAGGTGGAGAGTTACTCTGATTTCCTCATCAGGGGTCTCTGCAGGGACCCACCGTGTCCAAATTTCTTCCCAGTTCCCCAGCCACATCGCTCCCCACCCCAGGTGCTCACTGCTTCTTATGGAACAAAGCTGGGGCTGGCTCGTTGCTGGGCTCGGCCATGACTTGCATGGGCTGGTTGTTGAGGGCAGCCTCGCGCATCTTGTGGTACATGAACTCATTCTGGCGAAACATGCGCAGCTCCATCTCTGTCTGTACCCGCATGGCCTGTGGGGCACAGATGCACCGTAAACAGTGAGGAGAAGCCCCCAGGACATGTTGGCTCCTGAATGACCTCAGAGCAACTGACTCCCAGTAGGTGACATTCAACTTGCCCCTTAGAACATAAATACACACACACACACACACACATACACACACACACACACGCTCATCCATTGCAGGCTTCTGTCTTGGCAGTGGGTCATTTGCTAGCAAGAGGAAGTTGGGCCCCTGAAGAGTAGCTGGAGGCATGGCTATCAACACAGAAAATTTTTTCTCATAAACTTTCAAGTTGGGATGCAGATTTCAACATTGGCTTCTGAACTTGCTGGTTGTGCAACCTCAGGCAAGTGACATAACTATTTCTACCCTCCATTTCCTCACCATGAAGTGGAAGAGATTTCTTTGTGCTTCCCAGTGGACTGGGAAGATTGTACTGTGTAACACACAGAAAACCCCTTGTTCTCCAAAATGTGTATGAGAATGTGGCTTGGTGTCCCAGGTCAGAGTCCCAACCCTCACAGCCATAGGAATATTTATCACAGGCCACGTGTTGTTTGGGAACTGAGGCTCCCATAGTGAATAAGACTGGTAATTACACTGCCTTTGACAGCTGCTATGTCAGATATAAAGTTAGTTCCTTCCATCTCTCTGCCCCATTTTGTCTTCACATCAGTTTTGAAGGTCTAGTAGGTGGGTTCTATACATTTTACAGATGACAAAACTAGGGACATAGAAAGGAAATGAACATCCATACCTGAGAACACATTGGTCTAAAATGGAATCATTTCAATATGTGCTATAACACCAATATCTCTCTGCTTCTCTGGGTTATACCATATGAGGACAGACCTTTCATTCCCAAATAATCCAGCCCTTCAAAGCACAAAGGAGACCAGCACCTATAAAGATCATACAACTTGCTAGCCACTATTCTAAGAACTTTTTACACATTAGCTTACTGAACCTTGCCACAACCTTATCCTCTTCCTTCATATTACCAATGCAAAGACTGAGGACATCACGTCAATAGCTGCAAAATCACAAGTATGAAAATCTTTTCTAGAGAAAACTGAATCCTAGAGATTGGATTCCAGACTCCACTCTGTGTAGAATAATTTCTAATATGAAAGACTTCACATACAGATACACACTCATATAAACACACATGCATACTGCTGTTCAGTTTTCTCAGGCCAGGCTCAAGATGTCTGATACAACAGACTCAGAGTTTGAGTCTCAGCTTTGCCATCTTCTTGCTAGGTGACTACAGACAGATTGTTCCCATTGCCCAGGCCTCGGTTTCCTCATGTGTTCAACAAGAAGGGGTGGGCTAAGGTAGCTCTACACTCCCTCCTGGTCTAGCTGGCAATCTATGGACTCCCCTTAGAAAAGTGCAGCTGAGCTAGAACTCTTGTCCTCAGAGAGCTCAGAGCAGGCAGGGAGTGCCCGGCCCTAAGCTGACACTTGCCTCTAAGTCCTTGGTGATGGGATGGGAGGGTCCGTGTGTCACCAGGAGAATGGCGTAGGCTTTGCAGATCATCCCATGCCCCACCTCGATGTTACCAGCATGCCAGTTGGTCAGCCCTGCACGCATCACAGCCATGCCCAGTTGGGCATTGTTGGGGTGGTAGAGCTTCCTGTAGGGGCACAGAGAGTCATCATGACCATCCTTATACCTGCGCATCATTTAACAACTTCTAAAGTGCCCTCACTGATCAAGTCCATCTCTTGGAGCCCAGCTCCTAGGCTCTAAGGCATCTGCCTGCTAGAGGAAGGGGAGACTGAGGCTCAGAGTGTTGGCAAACAACCGCCACAGGGAGGCTGTGAGAGCTGGGACTCTGACCCGGGTCACCAAGTCTTGTCCTCAGAGAGAAAGGGGCCAGGATGGTACTTTGAACTTGATCACTGGAAGCTGGCATCCCTCTGGAGCACTCAACCTTCTCCCATGCAAGTGACAGGAAGTTCAGGGGAAAACTAACTTAATATTCCTTTTGGGGGCAGCACTGTATTTTCACTGCAGAGCAGGGCACCCTGCTAGCATGCTGTACCCTTTGCCTGCATTTTTTAATTATAAGTAACATTCTTTTAAAGAAACACAGCTTCTTGTGTCAACTTACTCATTTTGCCAGAAATAGAAATTCACTCACCTACATGGACACAGTGAATATACAAGAGAGGATACTGGCAGAGAGACGGCAAGGAAATTACATAACTGATCTATCTCTTCTTCCCCTCCCTCACCTTCTCCCTATAAGTAAACAAACAGTGGAAAGAAAGCCATAGGAGGGCTTCTGTCGTCTGTTAGGATTATCAGAACAACAGATATCCTGCATTTAGCCTTAAGATTATCAAAAAGCAAGCAGGGCATGGTTGCGCACGCCTGTAATCCCAGCACTCGGGAGGCTGAGGCAGGAGGATCATTGCAAGTTCGAGGCCAGCCTGAGCTACAAAGTGAACTCAAGGCCAGCCTGAACTGCATAGCGAGACCCTATCTCAAAAAGAACAAAAAAAAAAACAAAAAAAAAAATTATCAAAAGCAGAAGATACCTCCCAAGTGATAAATGAGGATCTAGACAAGGCCAGAGGTAATGCTTAGGCTTCATCTCAAGTGCCAACTCTAATTGCTTCATCATGGCTGCTCAGAGGATGCTGCTTTAAAAAAAAGAAAAAGCTACAAAAAGAAACAGTTCATGTTTAACTGTTTGATCAATCTTCATATCTATATCTGGAAAGCTGAGCAACTACTTTGAAAATAACAATATGTAATAAACAACACTGCTAATTTCCTAGCATTTTGTTTTGAAATTCTGTGTTGTTTTCATTAGTTTTGTGTTGTTTTGTTTTTGTCCTTTCTCTTAAAAATAAAAAAATGTAAAAAAAAGGTTTTTTTAAAAAAAAAAGACTGATCTTTGCTATAGGGGCAGGAGGAAGGGTCACAACCCTGTTAGCAGGGTGCCCTGCCCTGCAGTGAAAATATAGTGCTGCTCCAAGAAGGAATGCCAAGTTAGTTTTCCCCTGAACTTCCTGTCACTTGCTTGGGAGAAGGTTGAGTGCTCCAGAGGGATGCCAGCTTCCAGTGATTTAAGTTCAAAGTACCATCCTGGCCCCTTTCTCTCTGAGGACAAGGCTTGGTGACCTGGGTCAGAGTCCCAGCTCTCACAGCCTCCCTATGCAGAGTGTTTGCCATCCTTGGACTAGACACGCATCCAGGAAACGATCTGAGCTCTGTGATCATCACCTACATGTAGCCATCCACCATCCTCCTGGCATAGTACGCAGCCTCCTCAAAGGCCTGGAGGTAGGAGAGGACCTCGGAGACCACACTCAGCATCCGCAGCGTGTACAGATTGGTGTCTGCAAACACTGGCTCCTGCTTCTCCAGGCACTCCCGGCACAGCTTCACGACCTAGAAAGAGACACAGATGCTACACTTCCCACTGTGCCGAGCACAGTGCCATGCACACATGGGAGCCTCATGACTGCACTGGGCACTCAGTCTTCCAGGATTCGGGAAATTCCTGACAGGGGTGGGAAAGCAAGGTTTGATAGCTGAGTAGCTAAGATATAGGAATCTATATCTGGCTAAGATATAGGAATGGAAATGGTAATGAGACATTTGCATGACCCAACAGAGTGAGAAATTTTCAAAGTCAGTAATGGATAGGGAGGTATGAAAGCTATATATGCATGTGTTAACGTATGCAAATATATGTATATGTGTGCAAATACAGGTAAATAGATACTTTGCTTAACATCAATGCAATGACATAGGTTTTACTAATATTCCCAATTTACCTGAGGAAGAAACTGAAGACAGGGCTAGAACTTTGCCAAAGGTCTCAGGTCAAGGATTCAAACCAAGCAGTTAACATCCACCTTGATTTCTGTGATTCTCCACCTTGACCGTGATGTGGAGCCAGCTAGAAAGCTTTCTAAAAACAATGATGTTCAGGCTATAGCCCAAACCAATAGGAAACAGTTATCTAGGAGAAAGATGTTGGGTGTGCAAGTTGTACAGCCCACAGGTAGTCCTGCAGCACAGTGAGGCTGGACAGCCATGCCCCATTAATTGTGTTCAGATAGATGGGCAGGAAGAGGTTTCCAGGAAGCTGCGAGACTCACCAGAAGCGTGCTGCCTTGGCCCTGGGGAGAAATGGGATGCTTCTCCCCCATCTGACCCATGTGTGGACACAGGCTTTGGTTGTACTCTACAAAGTCAAATGGTCTCCAGATTTCAGGTATTCATTGTTTTCTTCCTCCTCCCTTGCTGCTGTCATGGGAGAAATGCTCTCAGATCCTTCCCATCTTAAAAGTAATCATGCCCTGAGACTTTGCCAGAGCTCAAGTGGAAATGGTTGGAGGTGTAGCAAAATGCAGGCTCTCAACCAGCTCATTCTGAAGAAAATCCTCTTCCATCCATGGGGACAATGTCCAGCCCTATCCCTCACTGCACAGACTTCAAATGAGATCAAGAAGAAAGGAAGAGGAGGAAATAAGCCAGGGAGATGGAACTTACGAAGCCCTCCGCCTCAATCTGGCTCCTAACTCATGCCCTCGATATAGACTTTCCACATTGTACAATAACACTTTGTTCATGTGGCCGTCTCTCTACTCGACAGAACTCTTAGCTGGCAAGGAGCATGTTTCCTATTGGTCACCCCAGCCCATCCATGTGCAGTGAGTGAGTTTGTAAAGGCAGAGGAAGAAAAGAATGGGAAAGCAAGCAGCAATGAAGAGAAATTAATCTCCCACCCTGCCCTGCCCTCACAGCATCCAAATATGGCTACACTCGTGAGTCACTTAATTAAGCTTGGGAAAGAATACTGTCTGCTGGTCCTTGTGTTCTAGTGCAGATGGGATGAATCACATTGTAGAAGTTGAGACAAAGGAATCAGTTTTCAACAAGCTGCCCAGGTTAATTCAAAGCAACTTCTCTGCAGGCCAGAGTTGGGCAGTGGGTCTCAGCTTTGGCTGCACATTGAAATCACTTGGAAGTTTTAAAAATCTTGATGTGTGGATCCCCTTCCCAGAGATTATGGTGAAATCATTGCAAGTCATGGTCTGGGCATCAGGATTTTTCAAAGGTGATTCCAGTGTACAGCCAGATGGGAATTCTTAGTGTTTCAAGAGCCAAGGCTGAATGCTCAGTTGGTAGATTCTGGAAACTGTAGCATGCATACATTCAGTTATGGAAAAGCAAGCAACCCACTCCCAATGTGTCCCACTGCCATTGCCATGCTTCCATCTCTGATGCCACCTGAGCTGTCACAGGCTCTCCCAGCACATTGATCAGGCTACCTTTGTTCTTTAAAGCCCAGTTTCAATGGATTGAACAGTCACTGAGAAGACGCCTTTAACAGGTTCAATGTTTAAGGGCAAGAAATGTCACAGTCTCAGCCAAAGGACATCTTCCCAAAGAACAACCTGCCCTGAAGCCTCCCCTTCCTCACCCTATTTCCTTCCTCTACTGGAGAAACTCTTTATATCTTCCCCATCCTCTCTGAAAAGTGAATTCTCACCTCATGATACAAACCCTCGGATCGAGCTTTGTCTATTTTTTCCAGTGTGTCCTTCGAGAATTGTATCATCTCCTTCACCACTTCCTGAGAGGGCTGGGGAAAAGAGGGACGCTGAGTTAGAGACCTACAATGAAGCTATTCTGTCTTTGAGTAGCTGCCATCTCTGACATTCAGTGCAGTGCAAGATTATGCTAGGTGAGATCTACATGCCCACTCTGTGCACCAGCCCACGCTGCCTCCCTAAGGATTTGGGCCCACTGACAAGTGGTGGAAACCCCCCTTTTCTGGCTCCTAGAGAAGACAGCCATAAACACCCCGCAGCAGGGCTGTGTATACCTTGGGGTCCTCCTTCACCCCCAGGAAGAGGTCGTCCTTCAGCCCTTTCTGGCAGTGCTCACACGTGCAGTCAAAATAGTACTGCTTCTTCAGCTGCCTCTTGCGTTCTTCGCTGACATTGAGGAAGTCAATGTAGGACACTGTCAGTTCTTCTCCTTCTGAGATCTTGCCCAGGGCCCGGAGCTCAATCCTGGAGCAGGGGCAAAGGACCACAGTAAGGGGAACCCAGGCCCATCAGCATGGGATTAGTGCTTTCCACACTTTAATGAGTTGAGTCAAAGACAAAAACTTTCACTAGTGCTCTGAGAATTTTCCTTTCCCTCCAAACAGGGGAAATGCGACCTATAGCACAGTTTTCTAAATCAGTCTACTCACTCAGTAAAACAGTCAAATTGTCCCTGTTCAGTTCATTGCTCTGCAGTCAGCTCACTTGGCGCTGGTAAGGTAATAAGCAATTCTGCCCTCACTAATCCCTCTTACAGAGTGCCAAAGCACAATTCAACGTGACTCATTGGCCAACCAGGTTGGGATTGCAGTAATTTTGTTTCCCGTTATGGCTGAGCCAATTTTTTCAAGCTCTCCTGGTATCTTGGATTATTTAGAGAGCTTTCACAACCAAATTAATTGCATAACACTGAAATATGAAAGCTGAATATATATACATATATATATTTCACTTTACATTACAGATGTATTACAGATGTTCCTCAACTTACAATGGGGTTATGACCCAATACCTTACATATGGTAAGCTGAAAATGTCATAAGTTAAAATGCACTTAACACACCTAATCTACCCAACATCATAGCTTACCCTCATTTTAAATGTCATAGAAAACTTACATTAGCCTACTGTTGGGTGAAGATATGTAGCACAAAGCCTAGCGCTAAATATCTCATGTAACTTACTAAATGCTATATTGAAGGTGAAAATAGAATAGTGGTATGAGTAAATTTTTGCAGTGTCATAAAGTTAAAAAAAAAACTGTAAGTCAAAACATCATTAGTTAGGGACCAACTAAATTTGGAATTGGGATTTGGAGGATGAATGATGACTAGAATAACAGCTGCAGGAGAACTAAAGAGATGAGAGTTTTAGTGTCAGCCCTTCCTCCATCTAGCTTCCTTGGACCATCACTTTCCTACCCTGGATCCCAGACCTCTTCCATCTCCAATTCTATGGTTCAGCTAATGAGCTATGCTGGACAAGTTATTCAAGTATTTCTTGTGGAGGTTAGAAACAGAGCAAAAGCAGAGACTTAGAGCTAGAAAGGTCCCTGCAGCCACTGTCCCCTGCAGATATGGGCCCGAGCCCAGCAGATGATGTGAATTATCAAAAGTCAGACGCTGTGTCTACCAACGCAGATGCAGGTGCTCCGACCACGCCCACCCTCACTCCCAAAAGCCAAGTCCCATGCAAAACTGTATTCTCAATTTAAAAGTTTTCAAGCCAGCCTGAGCAAAAGACCATCTGGAGCCATTTGACTGTCACTGAGAAAAAACAGCCCAAAAGTAAAATTTAATCTAAGCCATAAATGTATAATTGGCTATAAGTAGTGAACAGAGTTCTATGAAAAAATATGTATCAGAGTATTACAGTTACAGGTGCTATTTCTCAAACCCAGTCTAGGAGAGAAGCTGGGGTTATAAACACTCAGTCCTTTAGTAGGTGAGTAGCACCAACAGTCCTCATTTTGCCATAAGCATTAGAGGTAAAACATAGGTTTTGGCTAAGAGGATGCAAATTGGAAGCATTCATGCTCTGGTGCAGGCAAAGGACGAGAAGTGGGGAGTGAAAGGGAACAAAGGAAGTAAAGGCAAGGCAGGTGGTGGGTAGGCAAGGAGAAAAATGGTTTATTTAAATGCATTAAAAATAAGCCATTCAATGAACATGAGACACTGGCGTGTAGAAGGACATTACAGAAAGACAGTGGCCAAGGGGACTTGGGAAAGGGCAGTCCCAGCAAACCAGGAAAAGTGAGGGGGATGGGTCAGAGGAGCAGAGATGCTTGAAAAGCCTGACCCACCTCATCTGGGTGTGAAACATGGATTTCACTGCCTCATGACTGAAAGACAAAACAGACACCCAAATGAAATCAGTACCATTGGCTGATCAAGTACAAGTAGCAAGACTGCACAGCATTCCAGGTTACACAACCAAAGCTCTGGCTATCACACAGTCTTTCTCCCAACCCCTTCAAGCTGGGCTCACATAACAGGACACAGTGCAGAGTAGTGGAAAGTGCATTGTATTTGGCATGAGAAGCTCTGGGTTCAAAAGGGCTCAGCCATGAAGAAGTAACATCTATTCCATGGGCCTTAGGGTCTCACCTGTCACCTGGTAATGAGATTGTCAATGCATTTAAAAGAACAACACTAAGAAACATATGGGAGGTTTTACTGTTGTCCCACAAACAGGCACCCAAGGTAGAAACACTGCCTGTTTTGATGACTGCCCTGGGAAGAGTTGGAATTGTGTATTAAGGCTGGTCAGACCACATGTGTAGTATGTAAAAATGGTGACAGTTAGAATTGGGCCCCAACACCACATCTGGGGCTCTTTCCACTATGGCAGCCAGCAGTGACTGCAAAGGCATCTTCTCTTATGCAAAAGCCAAGAAGCCCAGGTAAGACATGGCTGCTCAAAATTAGTAGATGCAAGGAAGCCAGTGTAGACACCAGAATGACTAAAGGCAGTGTTCCCAACAAGGTTCCTTAATTGCTATACATAGTGACAAGAAGGGCCCTGGGTCACCATCACTGCGAGAGAACCATCTGGAAAACCAGGCCCCATGTATGGCAAAATAATGATGCTCTTTACCAAGCTTGGTCAAGAGGCCCTCTGGGGAGAACTCCACGAGGTGCAAGCCAGTGACCCCCAAGGGGATTAGGAAAAGAAACACAAATGCTGGGAAAATATGACCATCTCGGCATAATATAAACTTGCCCATATTGAGCATCTTTCTCCATTCTTAAGGCCCCAGTGTCAGAAATAGGAATGAAAGGCTGGGGATATAGCTCACTGGCACAGCGCCTGCTTGGCAAGCACAAGGTCCTAAGTTTGATTCCTGGTATCAAAAAAAAAAAAAAAGAAAGAAAGAAATAGGGATAAAAGCAAAACCAGAGTTCTTGCTATATGGAGGCTTAGGCCACATTCTCAGCTGAGAATCAGAAGCCATTGTCTCAGCTTCTACCAAGTTTTTAGGGAAAACTCTGTCCATTGTTGGTGGCTCAGTATTGGCTTGCATCTGTCAAGAGAGCTCATCTTTAAAAGCAAAAGTAGTTTATATTGTTCAGGCCTCATCCTCTCACCAAAACCCGATCTACCCAGCCTGTGCCATGGACAACCCTGCTCATCTGCCGATTCTTCTCCATGTGTGTCCTACCACTGAGACATGTTTTTTCCCCTACGTCCCTGATCTGTCCCTTTCCGGGGACACAAGGCTGAATTCTGAAGGATGCATCACCCAGGTTCCTTGCTCTCTGCCCTCTGGATGAGGACTGACCAAGAGGAGGAGACCAAAAGTGTAGAGGAGAAAGAGTTTGGGACAGGTAGACCATGGTTTGGCCAGTGGTTGGTTTGTCTACAGACACAGTTGCATGCCACAGCCAAGCGGGTGCCTCTCCATAGCTCAGGCTCCCACTGGCTTTAGAGAAAGTGTTCTTCTATGTGTCCCTCCAAGGCTAGAGGTGGTACTACCTTCCTGTGCTCTGTAAAATTGTTCTTTCATTAAATTCTCTTTAAGTAACTCCTTTTAATGTGTGTTCCAATTCTTTATGGTACCCTAGGTAATATATGATCTTGCCAAGCCATTTCTTAGTTTGTTCTGCTATGAATTTGAGATAAAGCTGTACTAATTACATCTGTTCTCCTCCTATGCCTTGTAGTACTAGCTGCAGGCTACAAGTTGAAAGTAGAAGTTAAAGATTTACCTAACCCACTAGACAGTCTCAAAGTACATGTGAGCACTCAGAAATGACTCATGTGGAATCCTTTGATATCCACCTTGATACCTTTCTATATTTATTCAATATTGAGATTCCAATTCACCCCACGTTGGAAATCCATGGTAGAAGAAGACCATAAAGTCTCCCCACCGCCGTCTCACACACCAATTAAAGACATACTCACTTGCCATTGTTGAATATGACTGTGCAGTTGGGCCAGCAGTCGTGGTTCACCAAGCCCAGGTTGGGAAAGATGCCCACACCCACTGCCTGCAGGCCTCTCTGGTCACTGAGCGTGAAACCATTGCAGTTGATCTACCCAGAGGAAAAGATGAGGGTCAGTTGCTGACAGAGATGAAAGACAGAACTCCACCCTAGTGCTGAAAGGAGTATTTTAAAAATGGGCTCTGCTTAGAGAGTCTAGAAACAGTCTTCTGTTCTCTGTGTAACTCCAAATGACACCCACAAGATGAGTACCCCAGGGGATCCTACGTTTGCAAAACTGCATCACCAGCTGGAAAGTTTGTAGTGGCTCCATTCCCAAAAGGCCAAAGATGGAAATGTGGGTCCCTTTTGCTGTGTCTGGGTCTCATATGAGTCCTCCTTCGCATCTGTCTTGATGTTTTGCTCCTCTCCCCACATTGCCATGTGTGCGTGCGTGCATGCATGCGTGCGTGCGTGTGCGTGTGTGTGAGAGAGAGAGACTTTCTCCTTCCTTTGCCTACCCACCACAATTCCTATAGCTGCACACAAAATAAAACTGACTTTTCTTTAGGATTGTTTTGTGTCAGCTCTATAGTTTTAGGCTTCTTGCTCACAATTTTAAAATCAGATACTACTTATCTCTGAAATGCAAGGGAAATCAAGTTGATCTTACAAATGTGACATTCAATTAATTATCTTTTCCTTAAAAGTAAGTTGTTCTTTATAGAATCAGAGTCCACATACTTGTTCTTGGACTATAGACTATACAGAAGAATAAATACAACCTATTATACATTAATAATTCCACAAAAAATAATTGCATGAAGTTTCTTCCCCATACATAAATACATATATGAATACATGTACATAACATGAACATAACATACATCTATACACTCCCATGGCAATTTGTTATAGATATGAGGGAGGGTCACTTTGTCCACTTATTTTCACCAGACATTTACCAAATGCATGATGGTATGCATGTGAGTGCTTCTAATATGCTGTTATCTTGAGCAAATTTTTTCTTGAGTTCCAGTTTTCCCATCTGTAGGTTGAATAAAGTTGACTAGATGAACTCTAAGGGTCTTCTCAGCTCTCAGCTTTATGTGTAGCTGTGTGGTCTACTCTCTAGTCTCCTCTCCAGACTCCCTCAGGAGTTGGTCCCTCACACCAATTCATCCCAAAGCCACAGAGCATGGTGAATAAGAATAGAAGCTCTGGCAGCAGGCAGACCACCTCTAGACCATCCATGGGCACCAGCTGGCCATGTACTCAATAGCGAGGCTAAAAGTATGAACTTTACCTTCTGTTGTATAATGTAGTATTGGAAGCTGTCATGGTTACAGTTATATATCAACATGGTAGGGGCATGGTGCCCCAATATCTTATGTGATCAAGCCTTATTATGTATGCTTCTGGTGGATGAGATCAATGTTCAAACTGATAGACTTTGAGTAAACCCAACCGCCCTTCACAATTTGGGTTGGCCTCATCCAATCAGTTGAAGACGCTAAGACAATAAAAACCAACTCTTACAAACAGAAAGGAATTGTGCAGCTCTTCCCCAGGTGTCTAGCCTCCACAATTACAGTTACAAGAGCCAATTCCTTAAAATCTCTCCCTCTCTCTCTCTCTCTCTCTCTGTCTCTCTCAGGAGAGAGATGTTGAGTGCGACCACATTGTTGTTACTACAGAAACCTCCCGCCTTGTCCTGATCACCATCACCTCATAAGGGGCATGGCCCTCCAGCTGGAAGCCATCTAATCCCCCAGTCCCCAAGCCCGAGACCTGAGCCTCCTGATCATGGGCTCCCACCTCCACCCCCACCTCCTGGACTGTATTGGCCTCTTCTGTTGTCTCCCCATCATAAGCTCACACACCCCACTGCCCCCGGCTCCCCATCAGTCCTGCTGAGAACACACAGGGAAAAGAAAGGTCTTATTTCCAAAGTGACTGGGGGGCAGGATGGGATGAGAATCCAGTTCAGGAGAACATTTAGAAAGTGCAGATAAACAGGAAGACAAATCACCATCGAAATGCACCATTCCAAGATGAAGAGTAACTTGGTATGTGGGTGCTGATTTCAGCCTTGGCAGGAATAACCTCATAGCAAAGTCAGAAAGAGTGCACGGTGAGAGGCCTTATTTTAAGTCTGGCCTCCCCTCCCAACTGTAGCCTGGGCTTCTGGAAACCTCTTAACTGGACAATCCCAAGTGTCACTAGCCGTAATTCTTTATGAGGAGCCATACAGATCACACTCAACATCTCTTGAGAGAGAGAGATTTCAAGGAATTGACTCTTATAACTGTGTAATTGTGGCAACTAGACACCTGGGGATCTCTGGCCTTTTCTATGGGGTCGCTTAGGGGCCTGTCCATGGGCTCAGAAGGGAGGGGCACAGGCAGATCTGCTACAGCTGGTAAGTAGAGAGCGGCCTTCACCAGCCTCCGCTCCTTGGGTTAGATGTGATCGTCATGGAAAAGAAAGTCACTGGGCAGTTGAGGCCCTTGGCCTCTGAGAAGGCCCAGCCTCCCAAAGGGGGACGAGGCAAGGAGAGGGGAGGAGAAAGAGCAGGTGTGAGGAGGGGCATGGGAGGAGGCAGCAGGCCATACCACGCCGAAGATGTGCGAGATGTACTGCATGCTGAACTGCTGGCTCTGGGGCGGCCAGTACTGCAAGAATGTGTCCACGTCCACCCGCAGCTCCTTCTGCTCCTCCTCTCCAAAGTGCTCCACATGGTTCTGCAGGTCATCCACGGACACGAGGCAGCCTTCCGTGAGCCCGGTGCCCTCTCTCTCCACCCGCCACATGATGCGTGCTGCCAGCCTTGGGAGAGGGGCAGTGTTACTCACATATTCATTCAATCATTCATTCATTTATTCACTCATTCAGCAAACACTGGGTGCCTAATGCATGCCAGGCACAGCATCAGACCCTTGAACTAGATGGGTGGATCTTCTTCTATCATGACACTTCTTGTATGAGAAGATAAGAGTAAACAAGATCATTTTAAGTAGCATTAAATGCTATGCAGAAAACAAAGTAGGGTGAGGCGAGAGTGGCTAGGGGAGGGGAAGTCAAAGTCAGCGGGGGTGTCATGGAGCAGGGACATTTGAGCTGGCACTGGAATGGGTGGAAGGAGCCGGCTCTATGAGGCTAGGGGAAGAGCAGCCGTTACAGAGGCACTGAGAAAGGAAAGACTTCAGCACCACGGAGGAACAGCAAGAGGGTCCCCGTGGCTGCAGCCCAGGAGCAAGGAGTGGGGAGCGAAAGAGATGCAGAGTCAGGCAGGAGGCAAGTGACACAGCGTCTGGGGACACCAGGAAATGCAACAGCCTGGGTCTGTCCTGACAGTGCTGTTTTCTGGATGAACACTGGATAAGGTGTCTAATGACCTGCTTTGTCTCTTTCCATGTCTTACTGTGTAGCACTGAGCAGGTCACTTGACCTCTCAGAACCTGTCCAATGGCCATTAAAATAAAGCTAATATTCTCTGCCATCCCTCCAGAGGTACTGAAGACAAAGTGAAGCCATGGATGCCCGCATCATGTGTGATCTTATTCTTTGTGTGTGTGTGTGTGCTACTGGGAATTGAACTCAGGGCCTTTTCACTGAGCTCTATCTCCAATCTTTTCTCTATTTTTTCTTTTGAAACAGGGTCTTTTGGAGTCACCAAGTTGCCAGGGCTGAGCTGTTTTGTGATCACCCTGCCTCAGTCTCCCAGGGAGCTGGGATTAGAGGGTGTGCCGCCACATTCAGGCTGATCTTATTCATATTTTTAATGACTGACAGAAAGTAGAGACAGCCACCCCAGTGAACAAACAGCTTACGCAAAGGCCTAGGGGCAGCCAGGGGTGTGGCTACGCAGGAAGCCGAGAAGATGCTCTGGGAGAAGAAGGGGAGGTGAAGTGAGGCAGGAAGCGACCCTGGGGAGCACAGGACTTTGAGTGTGACCAAAGCGTTTGCTTTGCCTTGAGGGCGTCCGTGTGAACTGCTTGTGGTCCCTTCCCACAAAGTAAGTGCTGTGACGGGAGGCTTTGGTGTCTCTGACCACACCCTGTCCAGGCACCTGGGAGGAACTGGTGGCCCGGGGCAGACCCTGGCCCTGCAGAGAGACACCTCCACTCCTTGACGAAGCACAGGCTCTTCTCTTCTCATTGGGGTCAGAGTTATTTCTAAAGCGATGCCCCACTGAGGTCCCCAGATGCCTAGGAACCAGGATGTCTCCCCACTGGAGTCACTAAGAGAAAAAGGCTCAGGATGGGATATGAGACAAATCTGTTGCCACCAAATTCTGGAGAAATGGTCACCAAGCTCAGAAAAGAGAGACCAGTGGGTGACAGAACACGGGAGATTGTGCAGGCGGGGGATGAGTGCGTGTCTCAGGAGGTGACATTTACTCTGGGTCTTCAAGAGCATGTAGGTTATCAAGCGATGGAATGAAGCAGACCGGAGAGGCCCACTGGGTCACTTCATCCTGCAGTTTCCTAAAAGCTCCCAGGATACAGCACGGCATTCCCAACCTTAACTTCCCCTTCTCCCGGCAGAGTGAAAATGCTCTCAGTCACGACCCCACTTCCTCTGCCGCCTGCTGCAGCTTCCGGAGCACCTTTCTGTGGCCCAAGGGCAGCTCCTACAGGCTAAGCCTCCAGGAGTGGGGCCCATGTGCTGGCTTTGAGACTTCTGGCAATGGCCACTTTGGAAGCCACTAGTGTCACAAACTCAAACGTCCCTATTGAGTGCATAGGGCTAAGTATAGGGTCACAGGAAGTAGCGCTGGCCATGGTGGCACACACCTATGAGGCCAGCTCTCAGGAGGCTGAAACAGGAGAATCACAGCAACTTCAAGGCCAGCCTGAACTACATACCAAGACCCTGTCTCCAACAGAATAAATAAATAAAGGAACAGATGCCATTGAGCTCCAGCTCATCTTGTCAGATCTTTACTTTTTGTTGTTGCTGAGAATTTCCTTTCCTTTCTTTTCTTTTTTTCCAAAATGAACTAGAAACCCTTAATTTTTTTAATGTGAAAATTTTAAACACTGGCAGATCAGCTTTTAAAAGCCAAACGCTTGGGGAACCTCCCAGGGAATCAGTACTGCAATCCCAGGCCTCCCCCTCCAACTTGAAGGGAGCACACAGAAGGAGCGACCATGTCCCCATGCCTGGTTTCGGCTCTGAGTGTGCACTCAGCCTGGCTTCCTTGGGGCTGGGAATGCTATCTCCGCCGCCAAACTCCCCCCGACCCTTGAGGACCCAGCTCTGACCTGACGTTCTCGTTGGGCACCTTCGCATATCTCTTGATGGCGGAACACTCGTGCTTGTGGTTCAGCCAGGCGTCTTTCTGGCAGGTGCGGTCACAGTAGTGGGCAAACTTGCACTGCCCGCAGCGATGGAGCTTCTCCTGCCTCTTGAAGCAGGTGTGGCACACGAAGTTCACCAGGCTGGAAAGGCAGAACGCAGGGTCGGGGGTGGGTGTCTTAGGGCATTTACTAATACTCTAGACGAACTATGAAGGAAAGAGATTTATCTTGGCTCACACTTCAGGTCCGCATCTGGCAGTGCCCCAACGTGACACAGGACATCACAGGGTAACAGACAAGAAACACACATGTCCGTGTGTGTCTCTTCTGTTTTCTCCCTCTTCTTCTAAAGCCACCAAGATTCAGTTATGGGGGCTCCATGCCAATGAGCCGTTTTGAATCCTAATCATCTTCTAAAGCCCCCACCTCTGACCGCCATAGTCAGGTTGTCCCCATCCCTTACTAGCTCATAGTGGAGATTAAATCTCTTGTATGAGCCTTGAACAATACGCTCAAGCCATAGCCGGACGAGGGGCACAGTGGGAAGGACCCTGTACTGGCTGTGGGGAAACCCCCGTGGTACCAGCTCAGTGGGCTGCTCCTGGCCTTTCTAAATTTCAGATTCTGACTTTTTAAAGTAAGGGGCTTGAGCTCCCAAAGTCCCCTTCAGGTTATAATTGGTCCTTTCATAGATATTTTTAAGTGATCCTGGTGTGAGAAACGCTACAACCCTCTGTAGATCGACCCCTTAGTTCGGCTCAGAAAGTGTAAATTCATAAGCTACCTGCACTGGGCCCTGGGAAGCCCACAGGGTGCCAGCAAAACAAGCTGTGCGCCTGTGGTCACCTGTCAGGGTGCTGAGTGCTGTGAGAGGGGAGCACAGGCTACTCCCCTAGAGTAGACAGTGGAAGAGCGCCAGCGTCCTCCAGGCTAATGGAGTGGGCTGAAATCCCTCATGGGGCCCTCGCCACAGGCACTGTGTCACTGACACTCACTGGGAATGTGTCGTGGGAGGGGGTATATTGTGCGTCACATCCTTATCATGGTAAAGACAAGATTACTGATGTCATCTGATGTGCTCTTCCAGCTCAGAAAGAAGCTAGAACTGAAGAAGGAAGGAGATGTGCGAAGATGTGGCTTCCTATCCCACACTGCAGCCTCGCAGGGCTCCCATCAGACAGCCTGTGACTCCCATGTTAAACAGTCACTGACAGAAAAAGACATCGGCTGCAGCACAGGAAATGAATTTAACACATAGCCTGGCTCCCTGAGTGAGTGACATCTGGTCTCCTCCATGTTCCCGCACTGCAGGGAAGAGAAATCCCAGCCACCCAAGCAAAGTCATGATGAAAACCAGTGTAGGGATGTGCAGAGAAGCACTCGTCTCTCTGGAAGGAAGGGGACAGGTAAACTCAGGTTGAAGCTGGAAGTCTAAACAGGGATATCCAAAGTTTAAGAAAACAGAGGCTTTTAGAGTAACAGAATTCTAAAGCCTAGAGGAAAAGCTCCTCAGAAGCTCCAAATGTAGAAGCTCTGTGTTCATCCCTGACCAGGAATTTTCTAATTCCCACAGTGAAGATTTCCCTACTTCTACGTGCAGTTAGATTGGTGGCTGGTCCTAATTTTTACAAGCTTCTCCCTTATTAAGATTGAATTGGTATACCCCAAAACGTACTGCTGCACCCTAATTTGGCCCTCTGGATCCTCGCCCAATGGAATAAACCTGGTCAGATCAGTTCTTTAAGAATCTGAACACCACTGCCCTTCATTTCCCTTCTCCAAATTAAAAGCTCTCAGTTCCATCAACAGATGCCCATACAATATGGTTTCTGGAATTCTCCCATCACTCTGGTGGCCTCTGATATGTCTATAGTAGGTCTCTGCAGCCAAAGGACAGGGTTGCAGAGGCACATTCAAGCAAGATCCTGTGGCCAGTGCCAGAGGCCAAGCTCACAGGCCAGTTCAAGGCCAGACTGGTGGTCCCACTCCGGCATTAAGAAGGAGACAGGAAGGTACAGATTTAGCTGAGGGCACGGTGAGGTTTACTGCTCCAAGGTAGGATCTGGGCTTTCCCAGAGTCCACGTAGTTTTCAGCTGCTGGCTGGCAACTCAATGCACTGCCCTGTCCCCATCAGCTGTGAGGTGCTTTGCTTGTAACTTGTTAATCGTCCCTAAAGTACTCAAGGGCGTGGAAGGTCAGTGCTTATTTATAAACTACAGCAGATTTATGGTCATCCCCATCCTCTTATACTTGTGTTCCCTTAATTTTCTGGTGCAGGACAAGGAATAGAGCAACCCCAGCATACTTAGAATTGCACAGAATCCAGAGCCCATCATAACTGTGCCATAGAGGGTGAACTGGACTTGAGAAGATCGTTTGTCATGAAATGTCCCAACAAAATAGAGCATAGAGAGCTTACATGGGATCTTTAGTGAAACTCTCCAAACCCCTGGAGATGGGGAGCTTTGAACTACATGCTCTGTCTCAAACCAGGACTGCATTCTCTGGCAGGAATTTGAAGTTAATTAACAAGGACTGGGTTGTTAAAGAACACGAATAAATTAGACCCAGGAGGCTGCAAATCTTGTCACCTAGTCACTCAAAGGTGAGGACATTTTACAATTAAGATGCCCAGAAAAAAAAATAGTATCTAGATGTGCTGCCTTTTATACTTCCTGGATCTTGACATGGGGCTTCTATTAGTTTAGTTTGGGAAAAAAAAACTCACCTCAGTTTAAAGTCAATTTACAAATTAGTCACTAGAACTTCCTGGGCTTTCTCAAAGGTGCTACAGCCAAGGGACAATTTCTCTCTGTCCATCTCTCACTGATTTTCTGAACAGATTTATGGAAGTACAATTGACATACAGTAAACTATATGTACTTTAACATATACTTTTAGGCCGGATGTGGCGGGGCACACCTGTAATATCAGCACTCAAGAGGCTGAAGCAGGAGGATTGCTGCAAGGTCAAGGCCAGCCTGGACTACATAATGAAACCTTGCCTCAAACAAAACAAACAAACAAAAATATATGGGAGCGGAGCTGAATGTGTAACTCAGTAGGAGAGAACATGCTTATCATGCACAAGCTCCTGAGTTCAGTTCCCAGCACCGAAAAAAAGTATTAGGTGTCTCTTACTGTGGGATATCTAAGATAATCAACTTTTTAAAAGGAGGGTCTATTTTGGTTTTTTTTTTTTTTTTTT